TGTGCAGACCGGATGAGGCAATGTGCATGACGCCCAGACTCAGTGCCTGATGCCAGGTAGGCGCTCAAGAAACACCTGCCAACTCAGTAACTGATGACTGCTTTTCTTTCAGTTTGTTCTTGTTTCATTGTATGTATGTGTCCTTGTTAGTTTTTTGCGTGTGTGTGTGTGGGGGGGTTGTTTGTTTTGTTTTGTTCTTTAGGGAAAGAGAGTGAGAGAAACATTGATTTCACTTATTCATGCATTCATTGGTGGCTTATTGTGTGTGCCCTGACTGGGGACTGAACCTGTAACCTTGGTGTATGGGGCTACACTCTAACCAACTGGGCTACCTGCCTAGGGCCTGGGGGGGGTTGTTTGTTTTTTAGAAGATTTTATTTTATTTACTTTTAGAGAGAAGGGTAGGAAGGGAGAAAGAGAGGGAGAGAAACATCAATGTGTGGTTGCTTCTTGAGTGCCCCCTACTGGGGACCTGGCCTGCAACCCAGTCATGTGCCCCGCCTGGGAATCCAACTGGCGACCCTTTGGCTCGCAAGCCAGCACTCAATCCACTGAGCCATACCAGCCAGGGCTGTTTTTGTTTTGGGGATGGGCAGTGGGTGTCCCAGTCTGGATCTGAGCTGGGCCTTCTTTTATTTGTCCCTTGGGCCAGGTGGACTGTGCTATACTGATTGTGGCGAGTGGTGTACACAAATTTGAGGCTGGCACCTCCACGAACGGATGGAACCATGAGCATGTACTGCAGGCCCACTCCCTAGGCGTGAAGCAGCTCATCATGGCGGTCAACAAGATGGACATCACAGAGCCGCCCCGCAGGGGTGTGTGCTTTGAGGTGGTAAGCAAGGAGGAGAAGACCTGTATCCAGAAGATCGGCTACAGTGCTGAGGCTGTCACCCGTGCACCCATCTCAGGCTGGCATGTGGATAATATGCTAGAAGCCAGCACCAAGGTGAGGGCTAACAGGGCCAGGGCTGGTTACATGGGACCTACGCATTAAAGTCTTTGAGCTTCTCTTAGCACTTAGCCCCCAGGATTTACAGTGTGCTTATGGGCCAGTCACTGAATGGCCCCCTTCCCATGGGAAACCTGATTTGATCCCCATTTCACAGATGAACAAACAGAGGTAACTGAAAACTACACAACTGGTAAGCAGAAAAGTGCATTGTCCAATGTGACACCCAGTATGTGGCTATTTAAATTATTAAAATTAAATAAAATAATTTTAATTTCTTAGTTGTATTACATACATTTCAAATGCACAGCAATATGTGACTTCCATTTTGGACAGTGTGATTATAGAATATTTCCATTGTTGCAGAAAGTTCTGTCGGGCAGTGCTGGCACAGTCTAGAATTCTAGCCAATGTTCAAAGCATCTCAGCTGACCTACCTCTTAAGACAGGGTAGGCAGCGTGAGGGCAAAATAAACATGCCTCAGACACCTCACTGTGCTCACAGACCCCATGATCCGGTAGGGCTTAACACTTCGACGTGACTGTCTCCCTACCAGGGAAGTGTAGCTCTGGCCTCAGCTTCAAGGCCCAGTTCCACCCCTTGCCTGTAGTAGATGGACAGCTGAGGTATCAGCACTCTGGACCTTAGGGTTCACTTCATGGGGTTGTGAGAATAACACGAGAGACTCCATCCACGTGAGCATCTGTTCATCTGCCAGTTGGTGCTCAAATGCCAACTGCTTCTACTTACTACACTTGCCTAAAGCCTACCTTTTCTTTATTTTTTAAAAATGTTTTACTTTTATTTATTTTTAGAGGGAAGGGAAGGGAAGGGAAGGAGAAAGGGAGAGAAACATTGATTGGTTTGGTTGCCTCTCGAGTGCCCCCAACCGGGGACCTGGCCAGCAACCTAGGCATGTACCTTGACCGGGAATTGAACCAGTGACTGTTCGGTTTGCAGAATGATGACCAACCCACTAAGCCACACCAGCCAGGGCAAGCCTACGTTTTCTATAACTGACTTGAGAATTTTTAGCCCATCCCCCAACAGGTACTTAGCTATCTTTTTCTGATCATAAAAGTAATTAACATTTTCAAATGAGCATTTCATGTAGCTATCAAGCATAAACTGCAACCTATGGCTCACAGATGGATAACCTGTTTTTCACGCAGCTCTTTCTGGTCATCGCCTTAGGACTCACAACTATGCATAACACTTTTTAGTTTTTAAATCTTCCTTGCCATTGAAACATGTTGAATAGTTACTGGGTGTTTTGTATTGCATCTCTCAGAGGTACAGTAGTTTGTGGTAGCCATACTTGTTATTAAATAAAAGCAATGATTAATACTTTGTGAAATTATTTGCCAGAGCCCAGACTAAGCACTTTACATATACACAACCCCATGGAGAAGGCTTTTTATTGAATGTAAAATAAGAAAACTGGGGCCACAGTATATAGATAAGTAATAGCCCAAGGTCATCTACTTCTAAGAACGTTGTTTCTAATTTTACTAAAAACTGCCATAAGCCTCTTGGTGAACATATCTTTGCATGTATCCCCAATTTAACTAAAATAAGTTTTTAACAAAACGAAGGGTAGGAATTATTTTGGACTGTTGTGATGCAGACCGCCCAACTGTCCTAGAGAAAGATTAGCACTGCCATTGGCAGTGTTCACTGGGATGGACTTTGCACGTTTGCACGCTGGGCACTGTCCTTGGTGCTGAGGGTGCTCACAGCGACTGAGATGCAGTTCTGCCCGGGGAGGGGGTATAAGACATAATATAGCAGAAAATGACAGGTACTAAGAAAAAGCTAAGGAAAGGTGAAGGGGCATGATATGAGTGAGTTACTCTATATCAGGTGCTCAAGGGGGGCTCCTCTATAATGATGTTAGAGTAGAAACCTGAAGCTTTGAAGCCCATTTCCCCACACCCTAGGTATTATCACATATTTCAGCTGAGATAAAGGGACTTTATTTTTATGTCCTTCTGAGAATTCATTAAGCAGCTACCATGTTCTAGATGCTAAAAGGAAAACAGAGCATTCAGTCAGAGGACTGGATAGATTTAGGGTTGAGACTTAGCTCTCAAGGAATACCTGTGACACTGGAGACCTCAGTTTCCTTCTCTTTAAGATGGAGCTGATGCTAACCTCATAGGCTTGTGCAGGCCTCTGAGCTGGCCAGTGAGCTGCCAAGTTCATCAAATTAATGGAAGAACTCATCCTCGCTGATGAGGCTGGTGTTTGAGTGGGAAATTTCCCTCATTATCAACTCCTGGCTTGGGCCTTGGACAACCTAATTCTTTTCCTTTCTTTTTTTAAAAAGATTTTATTTATTTATTTACTTTTAGAAAGAGGGGAAGGGAGGAAGAAAGAGAGGGAGAGAAACATGATGTGTGAGAGAAACATCAACCAGTGGCCCCTCACATGCCCCTAACTGGGGACCTGGCCTATAACCCAAGCATGTGCCCCGACTGGGATTTGAACCCGTGACCTTTCAGTGTGCAGCACAAAGCCCAGCCCACTGAGCCACACCAGTTAGGGCTGGGCAACCCACTTCCAACCCTCAATTATCTCCTCTGTAAAAAGAGGATATATTATTTTTTCTTACAAGTTTGAATTATTTATAGAAAGATGCTTATTAATTTTTTTCCAAAGCCTCCTGTCATTCTCCCAGACTGCACTTTGGAGGATGTGCTCTGTTTCATCTTTCTGTGGGACATGTTTCCCTCAAATTGTTTTCTTAACTTCACTGTGATAATGTCAGAGTTACAGAGAAGTCGCATGAAGTTCCACACACACACACACACACACACACACACACACACACACTTCACTTAGACTCCCTAAATCTTAAATTGACCACATTGACTTCATCCTTATCCCTCTAGCTAAAATATTTTTTTTCTGAACCATTTGAGAGTAAGCTGCGAGATGATGTCCCTTTACCCCAAAACCAAATGTGTATTTCTTAAACCCAAGGATGTTCTCTTACAGAGCCAGTTAAGTAATCAGGATGAGAGCATTAAATTAGCATGGGTACATTTCTGAAGCCTACAGACATTACTCAGATCTTGCCAATTATCCCAACAACTTGCTTTACAGCAAAAGAAAATCCAGGATCCTGTGTTGCGTTCAGCTGTCTCTTACTCCAAGTTTTGAAGCAGCCCCTCCCTTGGCTCTGCTCCCTGCTAGAGCTCAGGCGGAGGGCCCAGCTCCGGGTGAGCCAGTGGATGCTTGAAGGAGGAGGCTCAAAGGAGAGGCCTTTGCCCTTTGCCTTCCTCCATCAGACCGGCTTTCCCAGAGTGCCCTTTCATCCTGCAGGGTAAAATGTGTCCTAGGAGCCTCCACCTCCCCTCTAGCAATGGGAGAAGGGGATTGTGGCAGCAGAAGAAAGAGGCTTGGCTCCTTTCCCACCAAAGTCCTGTATGCTCTTTCCCACTGGTTCCTGTGAAAGGAACTGGCTGACGGCTCAAGGTCAGCGTGGGCCTGGAATGTGGATCCTGGCGCCCCCTTGGGTCCTGCTGCTAAGGCTTTCGTGTAAATCAGGGATGGGGGTCCTCGTCTGTCAGAGACGAATCTGCAAGTGGTCTCAGTGCCTGCAGGATGGCCCTCTCTTAATTACACACCATGTCTAACTTTTGGGGGGTTGCGTGGATACAATGGGTTCATATTAACAAGAGTAACCACTTATTGTGGACTTACTATGTACTCTACCTACACAGTTAACTCATTTAATTTTCACAATCTCACGCACCCATTTTAAAGATACGGAAAATTGAGGTCGAAAGGTGTAATTAGTACCCTTCCCCAGGTTAGTTATTAGCTAACCCAGACAGGACCGCATCTGTCTGTGTTCACAACTCAGTTTCAAGCCACTGTGTTCTAATTGGATAAATGCCATTTGTTTAAACTGAGGGAATAAATTATTTGTTTATAATTTAAATAATTAATTTAATGTAGTTCTGGCAGTGCCATCACGCAAAACTCACCAGGTCCCGAGACTGGGCGGCGCAAGGGGGGCGTGGGGGCTTTAAAACCTACTTTTGGGAAACCCGAGTCCGGTCCGTCGGCCAGCGTCGCCTGCAGTTGCTAGCAGCGTCCACCACCGGGAAGCCGACGCTGCGCCGCTCCAGTCGCGCCTCTCCTCCTCTTCCTCATCTCTCTGGTTAGCTCGGGGGAAGAGCCCGCCTCCTATCCCATAAGGCCCCGGTCCGGAAACTTCACTTCCTCTTCCTGTTTCTCATCATGGCGGTGAGTGTCTGAGACCCGGGTTAGCGCCCCTTCATCCGCCTCCATCCGCGGCCGGCCGGGCAGCCCTCGGTACTGGCCGAGCTGCAACTTCAGAGCCATGCGGGCCCAGAGCGCCGAACCGGCCTTTTCGCCCCTCACCTACCCTCCCAGGAGCGGGCCCGGGACAGCCTCCGGGAGGCTCAGGAGCACGGGCCCGGAGGCTGCCGCGAGAGCGAGCGGCTCGAAAGAATGGGTCTGCGCCACGGGGTCCGGACCTGTGTCCGGTCCTGGGGACGTGAGACTTGGCCGGTGCTAGGGAACCTCAGCCGGGACCTCTGCTGAGGGAAGGGGCCGGCCCTTTGCCGCAGCCTGGGAGCTGCTTCGGAACGAGCTGGGGACGTGGTGCCACAATCACGTGTTTCCTTTTCCTTCCTCCCCATCACTTCTCTTTTCTCCCATCGGCCTTATAACGGGGCGCTCCCCGTCACCCTCCGCGTTGGGCCTCGTGGCGCTCACCCTCAGTATTTGCCCGTAACCTTGACACTCGGTACCTGTTGTAAGTTCGTGTTCACCCATTCCGTGCGCGGAGGAAGAGAGACTAGATCCTGAGCTGTCTTCTTCCTCCATGCCTCCCCGGCAGACACAGTGACACTACATTTTTAGGGCGTTCGGTACGATTTGGGATGAGCAGAAATAAATATGCGCAGTATAAAAACACCGCGCTCGCAGCTGTGGCGGGTTGAGCGTGCTGACCGCTGCGCTTCCCCCTTACAGCAGGATCAAGGCGAGAAGGAGAACCCCATGCGCGAACTGCGCATCCGCAAGCTCTGCCTCAACATCTGCGTGGGGGAAAGTGGAGACAGACTGACCCGGGCAGCCAAGGTCCTGGAGCAGCTCACGGGCCAGACCCCCGTGTTCTCCAAAGGTAAGTGGCAGGCGTGGGGTGTGTCTCAAGCCTGTTCAGTGCCCGTTTTGACACTGACAGTTGACATCCCTTGAAAGCATTATCTCCCTGAGCAGCCCAGGAAGTGTCTTCCTCTTAGGATTGCTGGTGGCATTGGAGTACATGTTTTATGTGAGCAGAGACTAGGGCTGGCCCAAGCACAGATTTTCCTAGTAAGGGATGACAGAGAGTGGAAATGCTGGGGAAGCAGCGAGTGCTAGTGGGTCTGATTAGCAGGTAGCATTCCTAGGCTACGTGAGAATGGGGTAAAGTTGTGTTGCTTCAGGGTAGTGGGATATGGCAGGTCCTTGGGGCCAAATCGCACCTCGCATTGTCAGCTGGGATCTAAACCCAGGTGAGCCTCTCAAAACCTTGTCTGTTAAACCGGGATGACAGTACAGTAAGGTGTTAGTGAACATTAGCTATTGTTAACCTAAAGTTTTGTTTTCTGTAGACACAGTGGTCATCTTCCTTTTTTAGGGGCCTATTCTGGTTGTGAACTTACCCTTCCGTAGACTTTGACATTATGACTCAGCTCTTAATTCCTTAAATATGGCTGAGTGACTTGGAAGTTCCAGGGTTGGGGGGTGGAATCTGTTTTCTGTTACAGATGAAACCAGTTCAGAGATGTAGGTGACACTGGTTAGAACACCGCCACTTGGAGTGTGGCTAGGTTCTTACCACCTCTTTGGAGTTGTGGAGATGGTGTTCTGGGGAATAGGCGGTGGGAGTATGGCAACACCTGACTCCTCGTCACCTCCTGCCTGCAGCCAGGTACACTGTCAGATCCTTCGGCATCAGGAGAAATGAAAAGATTGCTGTGCACTGCACCGTCCGTGGAGCTAAGGCAGAAGAGATCCTGGAGAAAGGTCTGAAGGTGAGGCTGCTCCCGTCGTGGGCTGGTGCTAAGGAGCACAAGCTTCACGCATGCAGATACTTGTAGTGGCTTTAGTTAAACTAGTCTACTGTGTTTTTCTGAAGTATGATTGACATGTAACATTGTGTTAGCTTCAGGCGTACAGTAGGATGACATTGGCGTATACTGAAATGATCACGATAAACCTAACTAGTTACTATCTGTCACTGTATAAAGTAAATATTTTTTATGATGAGAAAACTTTTAAGATTTTTCTGTTAGCAACTTTGAAATGCACAACACAATATTACTAACTGTAGTTATCGTGTGTGTTATATCCTTGTGGCTGACTTATTCCACAACTGGAAGTTGTATCTTTTGACCCTGCCTCACCAGCAACCACAAATCTGTTTTTTGCTATCTAGGAGTTTTGGGTTTTTGAGATTCCATGTATCAGTGAAATCGTGCTGTTTCTCTGGCTTACTTCACTGAGCATAACACCCTCAAGGTCCACAGCATTATTGCAGATGGCAAGATTCCATTCTTTTTTAATGGCTGAGGAGTATGCCACTGTGTGTCCACGAGGACATATGCCACATAGTTATCCATTCACCCATCATTGCACGCTCAGGTTGTTTCTACATCTTGGCCGTTGTAAATGATGCTACCGTGAACTTGGGGTTGCATGTGCCTTTTCATTTTGGGGGGGAACCTCCATGCTGGTTTTTTCCCCCCCACGGTGGCCGCACCTGTGCACATTCCCACCAGCAATGCACAAGGGTTTCCTTTCCTCCACATCCTGACAACACCCGCTGTCTTTTTCTGGTAGTAGCCGTTCTGGCTGGTGCCAGGTGCTGCCCCGTTGTGGTCTTGATTTACTTACCCCTGATGGTTGGTGACGTCGGGCATCTTTTCATGTACCTGTTGGCCGTCTGTGTGTGTGTGTGTGTGTGTGTGTGTCCGAACTTCTGAGGGCTCTTCCTTAGAGAAGCTTAACCCTGCATTTGGCAGGGTGGAACTATGCTCTTCGATTCTGTCTCTGGGTTTGGCCCTGCACTTTGAAAGTTGGGAAAGGTCTGTGAAATCCATAGTTGAGATGTGATTGATGTAGTGGGGAAATCTGATTTTGTTTCTGGCCAAATTGCATCGAATTGTATTTCTGGGGTGCTAGGTGCTAAAAGCTAAGCTAGTTCTTTCAGGGGAATTTGCATTGACAAGGAGTGTGATTGCTACATTTATCTCCTCAGGTGCGAGAATACGAGTTACGAAAAAATAACTTCTCAGACACTGGAAACTTTGGTTTCGGGATCCAGGAACACATCGATCTGGGGATCAAATATGACCCGAGCATCGGTATCTATGGCCTGGACTTCTACGTGGTATGAATACTTGCTGTTTCCCACTCTGTGTGAGGGGCGTGGACCCTGCCGCTCCTTTATTTCACCTGTGGTGTTTGGATGTCAGAGTTGGATTGAAGCTTTGAGTGCTGTCTGCCTTTGTCTGTCCCTTTGGAAGATGTACCTTGTTTGCGATGTGTGTAGGGATGCAGCACAGAGCTAGGTAGACGAGATCACTGCTGTCGTGAAGCTCAGAGACTAGGATCTAGCAGCCACCGGTACGGGCTTAAGGGTGGATGAAGAAGCTGCTTCGTCCAGCCAGGGAACTGAAAATGTGAATGCTGGTGTTGGGCACCTCATCTGGCTGCACTGACTGAGGCCCCTCCGGGCTCCTCGGACCCTGCGCGGGGCTTCCATCCTGAGGGCGGGTTTGGCGATGTGGCTGGTTTGTATCGGGTGGGGATTTCAGTGTAGGAACGGCCGTGCGTGTTACTGCAGTGCTCGGGTCCAGCCACCACACTAAAGAGCAAAACCAGAAGACCTGAATGCTGGCAGCGCCCTCGTTAGATTTGAACATCCAAACAGTGATGCGAGTTGGGTGCTCACCGGGAGTCTGGGAACAGCAAACCTAATTTGAGGACTTTTAAACTGAAGTGGATGGAAGGAGAGAAGTGTTTGTGCTGCTCAGAGTTTAAGTTTTCTACAATGCTCATGTAGTAAGATTGTTCTTAATACTATTTTTAAGAATAAAAGTGCTTTGGAGATTGGGAAGCAGCAGTGGCAGATCCTTAGCTACCACTGGAAGTTAGGTAGGGAGGGGGGAGGTGCGGCAAGTTCCAGCCTGCACAGCCCACCTGCACAATAATGATGTGTCGTCCAGGGTGCTGGGGACAGGTCCATCGGACCCTGGGGTCAAGGGTCCAGAATTCACTGGGCCACCAGTGACTCTTGAAGATTGGCCTCTCCCGTGTGTGAGTCCTGTCTGTCTGCCCTTGACTCTGAGCTGGCTAGGTGACTGTTGGTTATTCCTGGGACAGGTGCTGGGTAGGCCAGGTTTTAGCATCGCAGACAAGAAACGCAGGACAGGCTGCATTGGGGCCAAACACAGGATCAGCAAAGAGGAGGCCATGCGCTGGTTCCAGCAGAAGGTAACGGTTATTCTCAGGCGAAGTGGCGGGGAGTGGGGTTGGGGTTTGGGGGTGCAGAATCTATCGCCATTTGGTGGGTAGCTTCTTTGAAGATAGACTATTTGGGCAGCTTGGCAAGTGGGGGCTTCCAGTGTTAATGGTTTAAAAGAACACCCAGAATCAGGCTTTTCCACCCCAGTGAGTGCTTGGTAGCTCAAAGGGGGGAAATATAGCTTTAACAAGAGCCCCCTTTTTCGTCGTTTATAGTGCAGTTGAGCATGGTGTAGCAGTTGTTAAAACTGGCTGGCTTCCTGTTTAGTCCAGAATGGGTATGGGATTCAGAGCCAAGTTCATGGGTCAGATTTGAAATCTCAAACGAAGCATTAGCCATTGCTGCCATCTTTGCTGTTGCCTGTTGTTCTGAAAAAATAAAATAAAATCTCTTCTCTTTCAGTATGATGGGATCATCCTTCCTGGCAAATAAATTCCTGTTTCTATCTAAAAGATCAATAAAATATCTTCAGTAAAATGTACATTACTGTGTGTGTTCTGTGAAAGGAGCCTGGCCGTATTCAAGTCCTTGGACTGCAAGCGACTTAAAGCCTCGATGGGAATAGCGGTAACAACCCCGTCTTCCTCTGAGTGGATGCCCATGCTTCCCGGCAGATTGAGGCCTGA